TTAAATAGGCCTAAATTCAACAAAATCCACACAATCTTCAAAAAAGGGGACCGACCGACTAAATATTTTTATTCGTCCCATCGGTAGGTCTGGTCGAGACATTTCCGAAACTGTGCCGCAATCGGGTCCCGTCACCGGCAACATCCTCAAAAACGATTAAGTAGGCCAAAATTCAACAAAATCCACTCAATCTTCAAAAAAGGGGACCAACCGACTAAAAATTTTTATTCGTCCCATCGGTAGGTCTGCTCGAGACATTTCAGAAACTGTGCCGCAATCGGGTCACCGTCACCGGCAACATCTTCAAAAATGATTAAATAGGCCTAAATTCAACAAAATCCACTCCATCTTCAAAAAAGGAGACCGACCGACTAAAAATTTTTATTCGCCCCATCGGTAGGTCTGGTCGAGACATTTCCGAAACTGTGCCGCAATCGGGTCCCCGTCACCGGCAACATCCTCAAAAACGATTAAATAGGCCTAAATTCAACAAAATCCACTCAATCTTCAAAAAAGGGGACCGACCGACTAAAAATTTTTATTCGCCCCATCGGTAGGTCTGGTCGAGACATTTCCGAAACTGTGCCGCAATCGGGTCCCCGTCACCGGCAACATCCTCAAAAACGATTAAATAGGCCTAAATTCAACAAAATCCACACAATCTTCAAAAAAGGGGACCGACCGACTAAAAATTTTTATTCGTCCCATCGGTAGGTCTGGTCGAGACATTTCCGAAACTGTGCCGCAATCGGGTCCCCGTCACCGGCAACATCCTCAAAAACGATTAAGTAGGCCAAAATTCAACAAAATCCACTCAATCTTCAAAAAAGGGGACCAACCGACTAAAAATTTTTATTCGTCCCATCGGTAGGTCTGCTCGAGACATTTCAGAAACTGTGCCGCAATCGGGTCACCGTCACCGGCAACATCTTCAAAAATGATTAAATAGGCCTAAATTCAACAAAATCCACTCCATCTTCAAAAAAGGAGACCGACCGACTAAAAATTTTTATTCGCCCCATCGGTAGGTCTGGTCGAGACATTTCCGAAACTGTGCCGCAATCGGGTCCCCGTCACCGGCAACATACTCAAAATCAATCATCAATTATCATCAAGAACCTACATAGCCGCCAAATCCGACTGACTGACTCCCTCACTTATCATCAAGAACCTATAAAGCCCCAATCCAACTGACTGACTCACTGACTCATCCACTGACTCACTCACTCATAGAAATGTTTGGGGTCAAGGAGTAGTCGTAGAGACTTGCGGCTTTTTCCATTCGATTCCAAATTTAATGGGAAAATAGGGAAATATCCCAAAAGTTGAAAATTTCTCACCGTTTCCGAGCAAACCTACTCAATCTTCTAAAAAGGGGACCGAATGACTAAAAAAATTTATTCGCCCCATCGGTAGGTCTGGTCGAGAATTTCCGAAACTGCAGCAGTCGGGTCCCCGCCACCGGCATTTGGGTAAATCATCATCATCAAGAATCTATATAGCCCCAATCCGACTGACTGACTGCGACTCACTTACTGACTCACTCATAGAAATGTTTGGGGTCAAGGAGTGGTCGTAGAGACTTGCGGTTTTTTTCCATTCACCTCTATCCTTGTCAAAGCAGTCTTCAATATTTTCCGGACCTTGTATGCACCCATTGACTGCCACAGTGGCCAATGCAACACAAGCTATCTATTTGGGCAGTAGAAGTAGCTTAATTATATGGTCAAAAGCTGTTAAATAGACCTTTCAAAGAAGCAGCACATTTACTTCCTTAGAAAATTTGCCTTTGGTCACCACGGAAAATACTTCGGCACGTGCCCCACACATGCGGGGGTCTGGGGGCGGAGCCCCCAGCGAGCAGCGCGAGTCATACTATATGCCCGTCCCTCCGTCATTTTTTTTACAAAAAATGAACGGGACGGGCCAAAAACGGCGAACCTCCACCAACAGGCAAGAGGAAGCAGATACCTCAGAGGATGATATGGCCATGGTACAGACCAGAAATAGGCTAAAGGCCCAGGCAGCCGCTGGCGCCGCCAACACACCATTCGAAGCAACGCTCACGCCTATGCAAAAGAAGAGGTTGGCAAGAGCCACTGAACAACTAGCACAACAACAACAACAGAACGCAAGCTCTACGAATTCCACCTCCACTCCTACCCAACACTCCTCAGGCTCACTCCAAGCTCAACAGGCATCGGGCCCCCATCAGCAGTCTAACCAAACACCCGCCAAAATGAAGAAACCATCACCCATTATTGTCCATGCACAAATCCCGGATTTTAAAATCTTCAAGGAAGAGCTGCTTTCCAAATTCAGACCTGGAGAAATCCGCCTTATTGCACATCAAGAATCATTCAAAAAATTCACTGCACCACCCAGGAGCAGAAGGCGGAAGTCCTCACCTACTTAGACTCCACGAAAGCACCGGCATTCACATACTCCGACCAAGCCAAGGAGCCACAGTATGTCATTAAGGGGGGACATCACTCCAAAAACAGTGCTATTGTAAAAACGTCATAAAAACCAAACGGAAAGAGAAAAAATGTTCATATTTTAACAGATAAAGTATAAAACAATACAAAGTCAATCCGCCATGGCAGTACAGCGCTTTCGTTGAAAACACATTTTTGAGTGTTAGGTTAGACCATTTCGCACTGTTGCAGCGCTGGACGTCAAACGGTTTGACCTAGAACAACGAAATTTGGTGGCAGCCTTCCTGAGATGTCTGGCTATGGTGGGTTAGACCGGCTCAAATTTCCCGAAGGTTCGAAATGTCGATGCGCGGAAACGGAATTCGGTTTCTTTTCGGATTCTAAGACTCTGAGAATTTTTTGGGATTTTTGAGGTCACCGGAAGTGGTCCCGCACGGCAGGGTAAGTTAGGCGCACTGCTAATTGATAGACCAGCAGTAAAGCGGCCTTAATATTCATTTTACGGGCATATTCTATGAAACAAAAGTTGTCAGAAATGGTCAAATTAATAAAAATATGAAATGTCTGATTTCCAAAACTCAAAATTTGCAATCTGGGTGCCTACCTGTAAGGGGTAACTGGCGTCTATTTTAGCTCGGAACCTCAAAATGAAGTGGATTAAGGCGTAAAACTGTTCGACAATCAATTTGGCCCTTCTGGTGATGCTATTTTGAGTGCCCAATCTTCTTCTGGTCTAACGGGATAATTGGGGGTCTTTAAGAATAATTGTCTTGTTTGCGCCTGGGCGCCCAGTTTGTGGAAAATAGCTCGTTTTCTGTTTGTTTTACTCGGTGCTTTCGGAATATTCAATCGCGGAGATAAAAGCGCGAGAACGGAGAAGACAACTCCAGACGGACAGGCCTTTAGTCTTTGAAGTCTAAAATATTATTCTGAACAAGATTACTTTCATTGTGATTTTGATTTCCCTATCTCCAACCGATCTTAACTGAATCAACGCACATTCGCATGGACCAGGTCATTTCGCAAGAGCCTCCTATAGTCTAAGAGATTCATCCCACTCGAAAGCTTTGTTTCGACCAATAGATTGATTGCCACGAGCCTTAACTCATTTGAGCATACTCCCAGGGCACAACTGAGTGCTTTCTATTGTAAGTGTGTTGAATTGAGTACTACCCGCCCATGGGTGCCCCCGAAGAGTGCGTATTAAATAGACTGTTGACTTTGCTAAGCAGATTCAGAAGAGGACGAGCTTTTCGTTTGACTCTCATCAAAAGCCGTCGTAAAAACTCGCTTGGCGCGTTACTCTTTACGTACTGATATGGCAGTCTCAAATTTAAATGTGGTAGACTGTTCTTGAGCTCACAGCTTACTCCCAGGTAGAGCAGTGTTCATTGATGAAATGCACCAATAGATGTATACTTGCTTCAATATGAAACGACACTTACGTCACTCTCCCATCCTTCACTCAAATACTAACGGTCTTCCTTCCGGTTTTAAGTAGACTTTCCTCGCAGTGCCCCGCATCACCGCGCTCCAGCCCTTCGCCGTGTGGCTTTGTCCTAGTTTCCGCGCTAATACTATGTCAGGGATTGAATCTTCGGAAATCACCGAGTAAAACGAAAAGAAACCGAGCTTAGCCACAATCCGGGCGCCCAAACGCAAACAAGTCAATACTCATTAAGGCCCCCAATTAATCCGCTGGACCAGATGGAGATTGGGCACTCAAAATGCCACCACCAGAAGGGCCAAATCGATTGTCGAACAGTTTTACGCCTTGATCCATTTCATTTTGAGGTTCCGAGCTAAAATAGACAGTTACCCCTTACAGGTAGGCACCCAGATTGCAAATTTTGAGTTTTGGAAATCAGACATTTCATATTTTTATTAATTTGACCATTTCTGACAACTTTTGTTTCATGGAATATGCCCGTAAAATGAATATTAAGGCCGCTTTACTGCTGGTCTATCAATAAGCAGTGCGCCTAACTTACCCTGCCGTGCGGGACCACTTCCGGTGACCTCAAAAATCCCAAAAAATTCTCAGAGTCTTAGAATCCGAAAAGGAACCGAATTCCGTTTCCGCGCATCGACATTTCGAACCTTCGGGAAATTTGAGCCGGTCTAATGGTGGGTACCTCAATCACATTTAAAAAATCATTTTAAGTTGTATTTGTTACATACCAAAAAAATTTGTAAAATTTTTTTCGGTCAAAATTGTTCAATTTTGATCGTTAGAAAAATAATAAAAATTGACCAATGCAATTTATTTTGCTACCCACCATAGCGGCATGTCGTAGGAGCTTCCATGCTAAATCTCCCCGCTGTAGCTCAAAAACTGCGCCCTGGAGGCCTGCAACCGTTTGTAATTTCATGTTCCGAGAAAAACGCGATCAAAGTTGAGGAAACTGGGCTTTTTTCCCTATGCATGTTTGCGGCCCACAACCTCCTAAAACTGCAATTTTTTGAATTTCAGAATGCGGTTTTCACCATTCGACGCAGAAAAGAATGGTCTATAATATAAACTAATAAAAAAAAGTTGCAATTTTTGATCATTTAGGAGTGATGTCCCTCCCTAAGGGACTCCCGACGGTCATCCCCGGTGAAGAAATTATTGATGACATCAAAGCCATAGGCTACAAAGTGCAGCACGTGGCTCGCGTGGCAAAAACCGGACAGCGCTCGGATGCCATACGGGTACGTCTTGCTGCAGAAAAGAAGTCCGAATCCTTCAAAAAGGTTGCGGCCCTCTGCTACCTCAAGGTAACCGTGTAAGACCCCTACTTCCAGGGCTTCCCCATCTGTAACCGGTGCCTGGAGTATGGCCACGTAGGAAAGCACTGCTCCAGACCCCCTCTATGCACCCAGTGCCCTGGTGCCCGTCACTATCCAGACTGCGTGGAAGACACAACGGACCCAGATTTCGAGCCCTACTGTCAGCAGTGCTCGACCAAAGGGCATCGTGCGACTTACAGGGGCTGCATAGAGTACAGGGACTACGAGGATAAGCAGCTCAAGAATCAGCCGGGGAAAACCCCACCCGCAGCACTTAAGCGGCTCAAGGAGCAGGCCGAGACAGCAAAGCAAGAGAGAATCGAGAAGCAACGAGAGTTTCAGCAACGAGCAGAGGCAGCTAAGGTACAACCTGAAGTGTCCTTTGCCCAGCGGGCCTCAGCAAGCACCTCACGACGCCCCCAGCCGACTCGCCCTGCTTTCTCCAGCGAGCCCCAATACCCTCCCGGCTGGAGCGCTGTGAACGGCAGGCGAAGTAGAAGCAGAAGCCGCCAAGAACCCGAGCAAGAGCAGCCGTCTCCCAGGCAGGCGCTCCCGCACTCGGACCTCCAGCGAGGAACTCCTAACGCGCCTTCTTGAACAGAACGAGCAGACCAACAAACAAATGGCGCAACTGCTTACATCAATTAATAACCTCGTCACCCTCGTCACCCTCGTCACCACTCTACTTACTCAACAGAATGGGGGACGACCTTTAGCGGCCCTGCTAGCTCACTGTCCCTAAGTGCGGCTCTAGCTGTGGAGCTCCGTCTGAACAAGTACCTTGAAAAGCCGGTCCGCTTGGCGAGCAAAGGAGGGCTTCTGTGTGTGATGTCAGCCCGCACTCCGTCGGTGGCCACTCTGGATAGTCCCCCCTGGAGAGGTAGGCCCAGGCGTGTTTGCGGGTGGGCGCCACGCAGTGTCGACCTCCGGAGCCCTGTCCGCGGCTTTCTCGTACTCACTCCCCCTAGCAATCAGCAATGACAGAAAACCTGAAAATCCTGGTATGGAATCCCGACGGCCTTCAAAGGAAAGTACGATACCTTGAAGCCATGGCAAAGAAGTACTGCCCTACGGTCATCGCACTCCAAGAGGTGCAACTCATTGATAAATCTGTGACTATCTCGGGGTATCACACTTGGCACGACCCCCGCCCCAGTGCAAGGGGAGGAGGCACCGCCCTCCTGGTGCGCGAGGAAGTGCCACAGCACAGATTAAATATTCAACTACCAGGTATGGAGATAACCACGGTAAAGTGTCACCTACCAGGGATCGGCCCACTGATTTTCATCTCAACCTACTGCAAAACGGGGCAACTGACAGCTGTACCCCTCCGAAAAATCGCCGAAATGAGGGACCCGGTAGTGGCAATCGGGGACCTCAACGCCAGACAAAGTTGCACGGAGCAAATATAACAATAAAAATGGAAATCAACTGTTTGGGAGCAAAGATCAACAACTCAAAGTCATCATTCCAAGCGATTTTACCCATAAACATCACTCTGGAATATTCGACGCCTCCATTCTGGACTATGGGCTAACAAACCGTGATTTTGAGGTGACAACAGTAGTTGAGCCCCTAGACAGCGCACCATCAGACCACTCACCATGGATTCTGGAACTCACAAATGTCGAAGCCCCTCCTATAGCAGGACGAGTAAACTACATACCATCGGTAAATTGGCCTCACCTGCTGATAAATCTGGAGCAAGACGAAGGAAACCAGCCTCCTGGTCCTGATGACATCCTACGCGACCCAGAAAAGAGTCTTTCACCCGCGCTTTGCAAGCACAGATGTTCAACTGTACAACCGTAAGAACCACAACAGCTAAGCGGAAGACCCTCCTTACTCCAGAACTCCGCGGTCTACCGTTGGGCAGTCCCCCCCTCCCAAGACAGATCTCCAAGGAGACCTTGATGTCCCACATCAAGACTCTTCACCTCCATAAGGCACGAGGTGGAGACGGGATAACGAACGAGGTGATACGTCTCCTACCGGACACCTGGGTGGAGAGAGCCTTCTCCGCATCTTCAACAGCCTGTTAGCTCGCTCCATTTTCCCACAGATATGGAAGGAAGCTATAGTCAAGGTGCTTCTGAAGCCGGGTAAAGACCCTTCTAAACCCGCATCGTATCGGCCTATTAGCCTCCTGAGCACCTTGTCCAAGCTATATGAGAGATGTATCCTGGATTTTATCCTTGAAGAAGAAGAACATCTGGGCGTCCTCCCTCCGGAACAGTTCGGTTTTAGGAGCCAGCACAGCACTGTTCTCCAACTGGCTCGGATCCTGGACTACACGGTATCTTCAGCCGAGGCCGGAGAAACCACGGTCATGGCTGCTCTCGATCTTGAGGCAGCTTTTGACAGGGTTCCCCCGGAGGAGCTTATCCTCAAGCTGCAGGAACAAGGATTCTCTTCACAGATAGTACTACTGGTCAAAAACTTTGTAACAGGACGCTCATTGCGAGTGAGAGTTAAGAGGCTATGGTACACCTCTCAAAAAGCGGCATTCCCACCGACCTCTTTCTAACGCCGTCCTGGCCACACCGTTCGAGATATCAATGTGAAACTTGACACACGGGCTCAGAAGGGATCAATCTCAATGACGGTGCGTTTAAAATTTTTTTTGAACGCCTAAGTTAGGCCCCAGGGCAGTCCAGTTATGGTCCAACTTTCATTCACAACACCTGAGAAAATAGGAATATCCGAAAAAGGGCCACGGTACGTTGTAGCTGCAACTTTGCTCTATCCAGAGAACTTGTCCCCATCTGCGTGCGGTCAAAAATAGAGGTCAAAACCTGGTAGACGGCGGACCTCTGCACGGCGTTTTGGGACATCTCGCGAAGTTTTGAAAAGGCACTGTCGCAGACGAGCTCTACTAACCCCGACTCCCCCCGCCCACCCCTCCGGGCGGCCCGCCTGCACCCCGCTGCTTTGTCTCTGCGCCGGGCCCCCCGCTGGCCCCCTCCTCATTCACGCGCCGGACGGCTCGTGATGGCTCGATGGCCTTGTACTCCGAGATTTAAATATTTGAACGGATGATTCTAGACTTTCCGGACATGAACAATTGTGTTCAGCGCGTGTTCCCTGCGCCAGGCGTATCAAATTTCAACTTTCAACGACTATTTTGACCTATGCATTGTTTCAACAGGCCCGGGTGAGATGGTCGTAGAAACTGAAATTTTGGTTGCCCGTCACCAGAATAGTACGCCAAACCTCTTCGTACAAGTTTCAAAACTAGAAAATGTCCCCTTTTAAAAGTTTGACCATAGAGCCTAGAGCCATAAATCGTCCTGTCACAGTGCCGAACCTCTCGGGCGAGGGTGGCATGCCCGACAGTCCCCATTCAGCGAAACAAAGTCGGCGACAACATGTGCGGGGCTTGGAGACGGTACAGCTCGTCGGCACAAATATTGCACCTCCTCTCTCCGACCAGCTCCAAACCCGCCGTGCAGAGGTCCGCCGTCTACCACGTTTTGACCTCTATTTTTGACCGCACGCAGATGGGGACAAGTTCTCTGGATAGGGCAAAGTTGGAGCTAAAACGTACCGTGGCCCTTTTTTGGATATTCCTATTTTCTCAGGACGTGTTGTGAACGAAAGTTGGACCATAACTGGACTGCCCTTGGGCCTAACTTAGGCGTTCAAAAAAAATTTTGAACGCACCGTCATTGAGATTGATCCCTTCTGAGCCCGTGTGTCAAGTTTCATATTGATATCTCGAACGGTGTGGCCAGGACGGCGTTAGAAAGAGGTCGGTGGAAATGCCGCTTTTTGAGAGGTGTACCATATCCTCTTTAAGCACTGTGCGAAAAAACCACAGTGAATCCCGTTAATTTTTTTGCCGGGATTTACTGTAGTTCAGAACACAGGATTTACCGTGCCTGGCTACAGTTTCTACTGTACCTACTACAGGATATTCCGTACTTCACTCCTGTGGTACAGTAAATCCCGTACATAGTACAGTAGATACTGTTAAAAAAGTACAGTAAATCCTGTACTCTGAACTACAATGACAGCTGTACTAATCACCACAGGATTTACTGTGATTTTTTCCCACAGTGAGGTAATATCTCAAAAGCCTATGAGATCTCAGCAGGTGTTCCACAGGGGGCGATACAATCCCCCCCTGCTATACGCTCTGTATACAGCGGACATCCCTAGAACAGACAAGAGTATCCTCTACGCAGACGACACTGCTGCATTGTCTGCCCACAAGATACCCCAACAGGCCGCAAACGACTTACAAGTACAACTGGACGCCATTTCCGCATGGGCCGATGTCAACCGCATTTAAGTCAATGCTGAAAAAACACAGATTATTCAGCTTAACCCTAGGACAAGGAAGTGGCGACCCATCTCGCTCAAATTTCAAGGACAGGTTATTAAACCCTCCCCTACGGCTAAATATCTAGGACTGACTTTACATAGAAAACTCTCTCTGCATGAGCACATGCTAGAAGTTACTAAAAGGGCCAAAACTACACGGTGAAACCGATGTCTGGAAATTTCCAGACATTTTTTCCCATTTCCAGACATTGTCTGGAAATGGCCGTTTTTTTCCAGACAATGTCTGGAAATGTCTACTTTTTCCAGATAATGTCTGGAAATGGTCAAATCCCAGATATATATCTGGAAAAAAACGGCATTTCCAGACAATGTCTGGAAATAACATTTTCCAGATAATATCTAGAAATTTCCCAGATAATGTCTGGAAACAAAGGCCTTGACGCCGAGGTCCACGGATTTGCGACCTGGGGGTCCCCGATGGTGTCCTAGAGGTCCCCAGGACACGGGGAGTCCAACGCCGAGGTCGCCGACGCTCTAGGACAAGCGGTTCCGGAGATACGAGGACGTACCACAAGGAGTCCGTCAAAGCAACTTTTTAGTTGGAGGCCAAAATCATCATCGGCCTCTGGCTGCGTTCCACTTGGGTGTCCGGGACTTTTGACTTCAGCATCGTGTTAAGGTAGTGCTAGACTACCAGGAACCCGTCAGAGGTCGCCGTCGGACCACCGGTGCGCCCAGGATGCCGACGAACGTGGCTGCTGTGCCGCCACACGGTTCAACACCGTTGTCGCCACCACCCAGGTGGTCCCCGATGGTGTCCTCGAGATCCCCAGGACACGGGGGGTCCAACGCCGAGGTCGCCGACGCTCTAGGACAAGCGGTTCCGGAGATACGAGGACGTACCACAAGGAGTCCGTCAAAGCAACTTTTTAGTTGGAGGCCAAAATCATCATCGGCCTCTGGCTGCGTTCCACTTGGGTGTCCGGGACTTTTGACTTCAGCATCGTGTTAAGGTAGTGCTAGACTACCAGGAACCCGTCAGAGGTCGCCGTCGGACCACCGGTGCGCCCAGGATGCCGACGAACGTGGCTGCTGTGCCGCCACACGGTTCAACACCGTTGTCGCCACCACCCAGGTGGTCCCCGATGGTGTCCTCAAGGTCCCCAGGACACGGGGAGTCCAACGCCGAGGTCGCCGACGCTCTAGGACAAGCGGTTCCGGAGATACGAGGACGTACCACAAGGAGTCCGTCAAAGCAACTTTTTAGTTGGAGGCCAAAATCATCATCGGCCTCTGGCTGCGTTCCACTTGGGTGTCCGGGACTTTTGACTTCAGCATCGTGTTAAGGTAGTGCTAGACTACCAGGAACCCGTCAGGGGTCGCCGTCGGACCAACGGTGCGCCCAGGATGCCGACGAACGTGAGGCACGCCGGAGCGCCGTGGCGTGCCGGGTGCCTAAACGATCGTCGCCACCGCTGCGGCCGCTGCCGCCGGGTCCTCCGCACCAACCGCGAGCTTGGACGACGGAGGCCGACGCCGTTGGCACCGACGCCGCCGACGTGTACGTCGACGCCACCACGTGCTTAGTCGGCTGTTAGTGTGTTCTAACGGCCGCTTCGGCCTCTGGCTGCGTTCCACTTGGGTGTCCGGGACTTTTGACTTAAACACTGCGTTAGGGTGCACCTGGGCTACCAGTCAGGGGTCGCCGTCGGACTACCGGTGCGCCGTGGGTGCCGACGAACGTGGTGGGCAAGGTGCCTGAACGATCGCGTCGCCCCCGCCGCCGCCGTGTCTTAGACCGGCTCAAATTTCCCGAAGGTTCGAAATGTCGATGCGCGGAAACGGAATTCGGTTCCTTTTCGGATTCTAAGACTCTGAGAATTTTTTGGGATTTTTGAGGTCACCGGAAGTGGTCCCGCACGGCAGGGTAAGTTAGGCGCACTGCTTATTGATAGACCAGCAGTAAAGCGGCCTTAATATTCATTTTACGGGCATATTCCATGAAACAAAAGTTGTCAGAAATGGTCAAATTAATAAAAATATGAAATGTCTGATTTCCAAAACTCAAAATTTGCAATCTGGGTGCCTACCTGTAAGGGGTAACTGTCTATTTTAGCTCGGAACCTCAAAATGAAATGGATCAAGGCGTAAAACTGTTCGACAATCGATTTGGCCCTTCTGGTGGTGGCATTTTGAGTGCCCAATCTCCATCTGGTCCAGCGGATTAATTGGGGGCCTTAATGAGTATTGACTTGTTTGCGTTTGGGCGCCCGGATTGTGGCTAAGCTCGGTTTCTTTTCGTTTTACTCGGTGATTTCCGAAGATTCAATCCCTGACATAGTATTAGCGCGGAAACTAGGACAAAGCCACACGGCGAAGGGCTGGAGCGCGGTGATGCGGGGCACTGCGAGGAAAGTCTACTTAAAACCGGAAGGAAGACCGTTAGTATTTGAGTGAAGGATGGGAGAGTGACGTAAGTGTCGTTTCATATTGAAGCAAGTATACATCTATTGGTGCATTTCATCAATGAACACTGCTCTACCTGGGAGTAAGCTGTGAGCTCAAGAACAGTCTACCACATTTAAATTTGAGACTGCCATATCAGTACGTAAAGAGTAACGCGCCAAGCGAGTTTTTACGACGGCTTTTGATGAGAGTCAAACGAAAAGCTCGTCCTCTTCTGAATCTGCTTAGCAAAGTCAACAGTCTATTTAATACGCACTCTTCGGGGGCACCCATGGGCGGGTAGTACTCAATTCAACACACTTACAATAGAAAGCACTCAGTTGTGCCCTGGGAGTATGCTCAAATGAGTTAAGGCTCGTGGCAATCAATCTATTGGTCGAAACAAAAGCTTTCGAGTGGGATGAATCTCTTAGACTATAGGAGGCTCTTGCGAAATGACCTGGTCCATGCGAATGTGCGTTGATTCAGTTAAGATCGGTTGGAGATAGGGAAATCAAAATCACAATGAAAGTAATCTTGTTCAGAATAATATTTTAGACTTCAAAGACTAAAGGCCTGTCCGTCTGGAGTTGTCTTCTCCGTTCTCGCGCTTTTATCTCCGCGATTGAATATTCCGAAAGCACCGAGTAAAACAAACAGAAAACGAGCTATTTTCCACAAACTGGGCGCCCAGGCGCAAACAAGACAATATTCTTAAAGACCCCCAATTATCCCGTTAGACCAGAAGAAGA